TGCTGCTTTTCAACTTGTAAATGTTTTACTTTTACAAATGTCTGGCTTTCAATATTTTTCCACCAAGATAGGCAAAAATACTTCCACTTTTTTGCATGCAGATAACACAATATCTGGCAGATAATGCAATATCTGTCCCTTTAATGCACATCGGCTTACAATGCCTTCTTCATTCCTTTTGTAATGATCGGAAGAGTGAAGGCTTGAAACCCAGCTATCAAAAGATCATTGTGATCTTTTTTAAAAACATATTGAAAGCATCTTTGGCCATTTTTGAGAATAGAAATCAAGGAAGTATGGGGTTAATGTTTCACAACACAGAAGCTAGACACAACATGGAGAATTTACAAAGGAGAATGTGGCAAAAACATCTTTGTTTTTATGCTTTTATAAAAGTAGAAATGGACATTTAGTAGTACCAGCACTGGAACTGTGTAATAGGAAATTCATTCCAGAACTTCTCTATGGGGCCCAGCTGTGTTGGAAGGAAGAGACCAGACTAGGCCGAATTCTGAGTGCTTCTGGTTTAAAATAGGGGAAGGCTGTGCATGTTATTATGCATTGCCTTCTGTAGACTGTGCTAAAGGACAAATACTTGGGTCAGATTTTAGAGATGTATTTGAGGAAGTCTGCCCACGAGACTATAATCTAGCTGCTTCGGGGGCAAGATAGATATCTAACTGCAAAGACCACATTTTTGCACACAATCAGATCTGACCCATAAGGGTAGAGCTAGGAAAAGAACTATGCAAGTATGTAGAGCTATGTAAATACGTTACAATTGTATTTCACATACTTTGGTCTTTCTTGTTTTCAGGCACAATGAGCAACCTATATCTGTTGCTTATAAACTATTCTTGCAACATATTTTTAAACTCTCTCCTGACAGGAATACAATAAGCATTTTAAGAGGCATTGCCAGTCTTGAGAGTCTTCTTGCTGGCTGCACGAGCCATTATTTTAAATTTTAGCAGAAGGAACCTTTGGAAAGCAGGGCTGGAGTGTTCCTCCTGGTGTACATCAGACTAATCCGTTCAGGTGATCCAGGCCAGAGTTCAATCTCTTCACATCATCCCTCCTGTTGCACCTTGATGAGCACATCAAACTTACATTCCACCTTAAAAAAATCCACCCTCATCTATTGCTGTGTATAAACTCTTAAAGACAACTAAAAACAGTCTAAAATCAAAATCTTTACAAAATTTTCACTGAATAACAGGTAAAATGAAAACAGGTCCATGCTCCTCCCCAGTGATGGAGGAGGCTGTGCGACCTTGTACCAATCTATTTGTGTTTCCTATAAAGAAACCATCCAATCCAAGGATATTTGAAGACATAAAGAACTTTGGGCTTTATAGGTAGGTACCTTAGCATCCAGAGGCCACAATTTAGACAGTAACACTTTATTGTGCCTTTTCATTTCGATTTTTCAAATCCTGTGAAAAAGTTACCAAGGTACAACAATCATATGGAAACACTACAGTGGGGTCTTCCCACTGGTCTTCCCTGTCCTACTGATCTACTCCAGAGCCCATGAGAGACACCATGGGCCCCACAGTGCTTCCAGCCAACTCACCACTCACCTGCTCACCCTCTGCTTCTCTTTGTCTCTTCACCCACCTCCTGTTCCCCTCATGTCCTCCCCCCTCTCTCACTATTGCTTACCAGCTGGAAAATAAACCACAGTAGCTTATTTTTCACACTCTGTGTGTCTGTTTGTGCCAGCCAGATTTCCCTATTTGCTCTCACTGGCACAGCTTGTTGCGTTGTCCAAACTTGGGTAACATTTGAAGAGAGCAGCAACCATCAAATAAGTCAAGAGCAGCCTGTGGGTTATTTAAGGGATGGTGCCCCTTCAGATAATTTGTGCCACCTGGGTTGAGACAACAGAGCAAGCCATGCAAACAAGGGTAATCAGGGAACTCCAACCAGCAAGTACATCAGCATTAGCAAGCCATCATGGCTTCCTACCCAGGCCACCATTGTATGAACAATGTCAGTGAGTCAGTTAATATGATCAAAACAAGCAACTGGAGTCTATTTAAGCCACAATTAACCCATGGCCTGTTTTGGGGTTGTTTTCCCTTAAGCAAGCTCTGCCAGCTGGAAAAATGCAAAATGAATGCAGAGTGGGGGTCAATGACCAAAATGCTAAGAAAGCTGTTTTGTTTGTGTTTGTCTGCATTTAAAAAATGTGCATCTTGTTATGGTGCATCACCTCTGGCTCTCTCAGGCTCCTCTTTTCTCTCCGGGCTTTTCTACAGGACTCTTTTAGCCTGTCACTTTATCAAGGCTTCTGCTTCCAGATTCTCTGTGGGATTAAGATAGTCTCTTTTATACATGCTTTTTAGTTTGTTTCTTTCTCTGCTTCTTGGTATTTTCCATTACACAACCACTAAGTGGCGCTTTGGCATAGTGGAACAGTGCTAATGCATAAGGTTTTTGTGCCACCATTCACAGATAGCACCACACTTTCCTTGGTCTAAAAAACCCCACAGGAATGGTTGCAAAGAATAGGAGAGGCCCTAGGGCATGACAGCATTGGGTAAAACACCTGTAAACTTGTGCAAAGCAGTCACATGGTGAATGAGGAATCAAGAGAGTGCAATCAGTGCTTCATGCAGGAAGGCACTCTCTCTCTCTCTTCCTTTCAGAGCACAGTCCTGTGCCTCATCGCCTCAATGTGCATAAACCTCTCAGCTCAGAGGCTTACATGCATTTTGTGTCTTGCACCAGGTATTTCCCCGAGATGGCTATTTTCAGCGGTCTTTATTTAGTACTGGAGGCGAGGAGGCCGGTGCTGATCTGAACTGGCAGGCAGGGGTCCACAGCCCCAGCCTCTTCGTCTCCCCAGCACACCTCCTTCCCCCTCTCATGTCCAGATGCAACCTTGGGGAGGGGATGCAGACGACCTCGCTCCTCCTGCACCAGCTATGTGGGGGCAGAGTACAGCTCGGCCCTTAAGAGTACCAGCTCTGAGATAGCAAGAAGCTTGGTGATCAGTTGACAGTGTAATCGCTTGGTGGACATACCTTTAACAGAAGCTTGAATTTCACGATCAGTTGCACATCGGCATTATGATCTGCCTTTGAAGTGCCTTCTTTCAAGAATGACGCCGTAAGGTCATCGACAGAGTGCCCTGGGTGGCGGGAAAGTTCCCTCAGTTGTCTTTGCAAGTGGCACCACCTGTGCCTTTGGTCTCCATCAGCACTTACATTGTGTCAGGATGGCCGCTGGGCAAGCGGAACCAGTTAATACCTCCACGAGAAGTCCTGGCTCTGTGAAAGCATTGGCATAAGAAGTTATTCCCCCCTCAGCCCCCAGTAATCTGCATCACGACAGCCTGCACAATCGCTACGGCTGGTCTGGATTGGTGGTTGCAGCCAGTAGGGCTGCCACTTCGCTTCTCCGCTCAGTTCAGTGGTTATCAAATTAGTCTAAAATGTTTGCGGAGGAGCTGCGCCTTCCCTAACATCTGCCTGCATCTCTTACCAAAGAGGGATCCAGTACACAATTTCAGATGCTGAGGTTTGCACACCATGTGGGAACCTTTCCTTCTGCATGAATGTTTATATTCATCTATAGGGTGAATCACATGCATATTGTTTACACGCATCCCACCTATCTCTGTTCCCCCACCCATTTCTTCTTTAATGCTTTCTGCCACTTCGCTTCTCCGCTCAGTTCAGTGGTTATCAAATTAGTCTAAAATGTTTGCGGAGGAGCTGCGCCTTCCCTAACATCTGCCTGCATCTCTTACCAAAGAGGGATCCAGTACACAATTTCAGATGCTGAGGTTTGCACACCATGTGGGAACCTTTCCTTCTGCATGAATGTTTATATTCATCTATAGGGTGAATCACATGCATATTGTTTACACGCATCCCACCTATCTCTGTTCCCCCACCCATTTCTTCTTTAATGCTTTACCTGCACACCTGCAAAGAGAGTCAAAATGTCATACAGAAAAACTGAACCAGCCCAAAAATCAACAAAGCATTCCCTCCAATGTACCAGAAACATTTTGCTTTGCTTCTAATGCACTCTTCCATCTTTGCCTGAAAAAATGTGCTATCTCCAGTCTAAAATAAAATGAAAAGTCCCTGAGTTAACACACAGTGTCTCCTTCACAAGTGCTTTAAAACCAATTATTATTATTCTGATATCTGATTCAAAGATAAGACAAAGGCAGGAAAAATCTTTTATAATTAGAAACATTCCCTTGAAAGCAGGATATAATTCAGATCGTGTAGAAGATAAACATTTATTCAATAGGTCCCTTCCTCTGCTCCCAGTCATCCCCCTCAAAAAAAGAACACGGAGTGGCAAGGTTTTTTGCTGCTGTGGATAAAAACAATTTCCTAACAGGGGAGATTGGGGGGCGGGGGGCGAGAAGGCGTAAGAAAAAAGCTCAATCTCAGCTAAGCCAGCTGTTGGGATAAGTTTAACTGTTCACTTCAGCTGCTACATTTTCCCTGAGCTATTTACAAACGGTGAAAAAGAGAGAGATCTCAAGGCGTAAAATACTCAAAGCAGAAGCTTTTGACACTCAAGAGCACCTCTATTTAATCCACCCCCCCCCCGCTCTCTTATATACACACAGAGAGAGAAGGAGGAGGAGGAGAAGAGGGAGGAAGGGAGGGGAGGGGAGAGAAAAGTGAGCTCACGTTCACACATTGGTAAAGAGGCTGGTCTTGCAATGCCTTTGAATATTTTACTTTTTGTCAGTTTCCCTTCAGAGTCATACACTCACACATGCTGAACCACAACAATGGGCTGCACTGGACGATCAGAAATCTGATCACACACAATTTCTCTCTCTGATTATCTCTAGTACATAGCACTTTCTATCTGTATAGACAGACACAAATAACACGGAGAAGAAGGCAGAAGCAGTATCAGCCATACCATCACCACCAAGCTGAACACCTTATCTCTTTTTGCTTGAGAGAAAGAGAGATACACGGTACATACATATATACATACATACATACACACACACACACACACACACACACGCGTGCACACACACAGAGAGAAAGAGAGAGAGACTCACAAATCTTTTCCTCTCCTGGCTTCCCTGGAAGATTTTGCTGGCTGTTTTTCATGGAGAAAGTCCAAGGAGAAATGGAGATTGAGAGATGGGAAAGAAGCGAAGAGATGTCAGACGCAGAGAAAAAGGTGATTCAGGAGACATGGAACAGAGTGTACGCGAACTGCGAGGACGTTGGGGTCTCCATACTGATCAGGTATTTAAAATGGCACACAGGAAGCCAAAAATTTAAAAGTAGCATTGAGGGCTGAGTAGCAGCTTTGGCTCTGCTGAGGCATGATTATACTGCATGTTGATTTCGGAATGTTAGAGAAGGAAATCGAGGTGGCATGCCTCTGATACTGTAGCTTACAAGGATCAATAATGTCTCAGCCAGAAAGGTCATCTTATTCTGTGTGTACGAAGTGGGGGTTAGAAGTGATTGTTCTATGGCATTCTGCTCACTGGTTCCAACTTAGCTCTTTGCTCATAGAAATACACACATGCACACACACCAGATTCCTGGGCAAAATAACACAACTTATGAGCCAAGATAAATCCCAAACAGGGCTGCCGAAGCTTGTCGGTACCATCTGCTCATCAGCTGGGTTGCAATGCCAGTACGAAAGATAATGCTGAAGTTGTCTCCTGGGGCTGGCATGAAGACTGTGAGCCGGGTGGGGGGATGGCGTGAGGCAAACACTGACAGGTAAATGAACACAGGAGGCAAAGGGCTTAGTCTGCGCTGGAAATGTCACTGGGAAATGGCCACACAATAATGGATGACGAATGTCACAGCAATCCCTCAAACAGGCAGGTGAAACAATCCGTCTGTTTATATGTGGCCAGCCGGGCGGAACAGGAAAGACGTGGAGACCCTTAGTTTAAAACAGGCAGGGATTTGTCTCAGTTGAGTGTGATTCTCAGCCATTAAAGCCATGCAAGCATCTCTGGACGATTATAACCCTGGGAGCCCGACTCAAGGGAGAGGCGGTAGTTCAGGGGCACGCAGACGGTCCACGGTCAGATCCCCAGCATCTCCAGCTTGAGTTGGGAAAGAGCCCACCTGTACCCCACGAGAGAGATGTCCACACTACTGGACTAGTTGGAGCAATGATGTGGGTCAGCCTCTGCTCCTCACCCCTTTATTGTGCCTTGTGGCCTCCTCCTTGCTAGAATGCTCCCATGGGGTTATCTCAGTACCTGACCTTGTTTTGTTTCTGAAACTCCCGAAGACTCTCTTGGGCATGGCACAAACTGGCCCCCTTCTTGCTGGTAGAAAAGATCAGTGCAGGTGAGAACAGGCCTGAAATGAGAGCCAACGACAGGAGGGAAGAGCAACAAGCTACTGTGGCTGTTTAAAGTCCGTTGGACTTTGAATGCTCCATTTCGAAACATGACGGCACCTGTCTCTTTTCTTTCAATGGAGTGAAGAACAGGTTTGTGGGGGTGTTGATTGGAGAAATGGTACAGGGGTAGGGGAAGGGTAACACCCTGCCCTGTGTTTCTGCCCCATTTTAGGAGGGGGAAATGTTGCAAAATCTAGTTAGAAATCTACAGAATAATATACTATGTGTAATTTGTCCCTGAGGAAATAAGTAAATTTTTATCTAGAGGCAGCTGCTTCTCTCTGCAAACTGTATTTTGAGCTGCTTGAAATGTTATGTCCGTTTGTTGTAGTGATTTAAGGAAGGAGCTCAGGGACTTATCAGGGTTTTGATAAACAAAGAGTTTCCTCAAAATTCAGAAATATCTGACTTAACTTCAGTGCCATTACAAATGTGGCAGCAAAACTTAAGATGTGTACCCTTGGTTCCTTTTGAGCTTCCCTGCTTTTTTCAACTTTCCCATCATTTTTTCCATGAGAAATTGTACTAGATGTTGTTATGCTGGTCCTTCCCTAAAAGGCTTCAGCTCTGCAAGCTTATAGAGAGTTAAACTGTGGAAATCCAATTGACCAAATGGGATAAAAGACAGGACTGCAGCTGAAATTGCTACCTATAGTTGGAAGCAGACCCCATTTGGAGGAAAAAAACCTGGCAAGACTTGGATTTCCTACAGATCTTTAGTTTGTGTAAAATTTGGAGAGCATGCATTAGAAACCCCAAATGCTCCTTATGTTAAGGCACATCTCTTACCTTAAAGGACTGTCCTTTACATCAGAATTTCATACTTCCATGATGCTTAATTAAGGTTCTTTAGCTATGAAAGCTCCATGGTGCTGCTAATGTTTGGAATACTAATCACCAACCAAGGCAAGTTTAGGTACATTTAACCCAATATGACCTTCCAACTTCAACTTTAGCACTCCTTTCCTTTCCTTTCCTTTCCTTTCCTTTCCTTTCCTTTCCCCTTTTTATTTTTGGTAGGAGGATAGGGTAAAACCATAGACAGACAGACAGAATCCAAAACATGTCAGTCAGAACTCACATTCCAGCAGCTTTTCTGAGTTCTTGAAAAAGAACTCTCCTAAATTCTCACAACATAATGCATTTGTAACTGGAAGGAAATCTGCTGGGTTTTTCCAGGTTTTAGAAATGCTGTTCTATTATCACTAGCCATTATATGTATATCTTTCAAGGAACTTAAGGCAGCTTACATAATTCTCCTCCTCCTCTCAATCTTATCCTCACAACAACCACCCAGCAAGGTAGGTTGGACTGAGAGCCTGTGACTAGCTCAAAGTCCTCCAGTGAGCTCCACTGGAGCCTGAGTGGGGACTCAGATCTCCAGAGTCCCAGTCCAGCACTCTTAACCACTACTCTGCACTGGTTCTAGGGCAGCCAGTCAGAACATATGATCTGCTAAGATCTTTTGGCCACTATGACCATTCTGATTTCATGCATCCTGGTGAGTAAGGGGAGACAGAAATTAGGAAAGTGAATGATATGACTTACAGTGCCCAGATTTCAGTTGGGCTTTGCATTTGTTTCACTCAACCGGGAAATGTAAATCTACCAATTCCCTTCAGCTCCAATTAAGGTGCAGGACAAAAGGTAGACAGAGAAAAGCTGGAAGTTGTATGCAAATATCTTAGAACACCTGGACACACCCAGGTCCTAGAGCAAAGTAGACTAGGAAGCATAGGCTTGTCTGCAATTATGCAAATCAACAAGATTGCCGATAAAATATAGATTGCTTTCTCACCTTATTTTCATTTTGAGACACACACATGCATGTGCACACACAATAACAACACTGTTCAGTTTTTAGTGAAGAGAAGTGCTGTTTGATTATGGGGAGCAATACTGCAAATGAGAAAGATCTTGGGGTTGCTGTAGATCACGAGCTAAACATGAGCCAACAATGTGATGCAGCTGCAAAAAGGGCAAACACTATTTTGGGCTGCATTAACAGAAGCTTCACTTCCATAACACATGAAATACTAGTTTCACTTGACTCATACTGGTCAGGCCTCACCTGGAGTACTGTGTCTAGTTCTGGGCACCTAAGTTGTAAAAAGATTCAGAACAGCTAAAAAGGGAACAGAGAAGGGCAACAAGGATGACTCAGGAACTGGAGGCAAAGCCCTATGAGGAAAGATTGAGAAAACTGGCCATGCTCAGGCTTAGGAAGAGAAGACTGAGGAGAAATGCGATAGCACTCTACAAGTGCCTGAAAGGCTGTCACAAAGAGGAAGGGCAAGATCGCTTCTCATCCATTCCAGAGTGCAGGACACAGAATAACAGACTTAAGCTAAAAGAAAGCAGATTTGGATTAGACATCAGGAAGAATTTCCTCACTGTCAGACAATGGAACCTATTACCTGTGGAAGTTGTGGGCTCTCCCTCGCTGGAGACATTCAGAAGGTGCCTGGATGGGTTGGTGTAAATTGGTGTCCTGCAATAGCAGGGGGGTTGGACCTGATGGCCATCTGGCCCCTTCCAACTCTACTATTCTACGATTTTATGATTCTATGTAACTGCTCATCTGTGTCAGAAAAGTACAGACTGTAACAGTCTACCCTCCCAGTGTGGCATAGAGGTTCATCCGTGGGACTGGGACTGGTGAAATCAGGGTTCTTGTCCCAACTTGGCCATGTATCTCCCAGAGTGACTTTGGACTAGTCACTGTTTATGAGTCTAACCTATCACGTTTGAGTGTTGTAAGGACAAAATGGAGAAGATTATGTAAGATGCTTTGGATTCCTTGCAGGAAAGAAGGCAAAGATATAAATAAAATTAACAAACAAACAAATATCAGGTACCCCTTATTATGAAAAACCAAATGCAACCGGAGAACAGGAAAATAGGAATAAATATAGGCTATTTCTTACACACAGGGCTATTCCACAATATGAAGAACCTCACATGAGACAACCTTTTAACTCACACAACGGTTCCCCGCGTGGCTAATACAAATACAGAATGCCATCATGCTAAACTAGGGGTAGCACTGCAAAGTTGGGCAAACCCAGTGACTCCAGTTCCAAATTCCGAGATTCTGGATTCCCAGATTCCAATTAAGCAGCTGGTCTGCACTGACCTAGAATCAACGGCAGCTTGTAGCGATGGTCAGCACTCCTTTTCAGAGTGACAGGAGGAACCCAGCACAGACTTGTGGATGATGGACTGCAACAAATGAGCAAGCAAGCAAACTGGGTGCCGTTTGCGATGAGCAATGATGTTTATGGATGGGGGTGCTGCCAGGCTGAAGAGTCTGCTCATAGTAGAGAGGTCAGGTGACTTGTTTGCCATGTGCAGCAAACAGAGAGAGGAAATAAGGCAGCTGCCCCGTGCGGGGTAGTCCTTCAATTCACTTTAAGGCTCTTGCGCAGAAGTGGTGGAATGGGACACGAAGGGAGTGTGCCCTTTTATTTTCACACAGAGCTTCCTGCTTGGTTGTGCTTCCCATTAGCTAGAGTAAACTTAGTATCTCAAAGAGCACTGCTTTTCTAGATTACTTCTGTATATGTGAAAGCAATTCCTCTTGCCCCTTGAAAAGTTTTTATGCTTAAAGGTAAAGGTTTCCCCTTGACGTGAAGTCCAGACCTGGGCCGGAGCGGGAACTCACCCCCATTGTGCAGATTCGAACTGGTGACCTTTTGATCAACCAGCCCAGCAGCGCAGCGGATTAAACCACTGTGCCACCTGCAGTCCCTTTTATGCTTATGCATGTGTATTGATACTTGCTGGGTTTTTCTCGATGGGCTGTTTCATGGGCAATGGCCCTGCCTCATCCACAGAATTTTAGAAGAGGTCCAGACTCCATCATTAT